ATCCTTTGATTGCATATGTATACAAAGTCATTTATCATTTCCTGTCATTTTTTTTATTTTCTCTCCATTCATAATTGATCCTGTCTTATCCACGAAATCTGCCGTCTGCTCGAATGTTTATTCCTCCGATTTTCTCTTTAAAATTTGAATAAAGTGTCTGATATTTTTAAATATCTATATTCTCTGGAATGTTAACTTTGTGTATTTCAACTTTTTCCTCCCTTATTCCTCTAGTTTCCTTCACAGTTTCGATTTGTAAACAATACATAACAATGCAATGTTTATATTCTGTTTGAATGTACATTATAACATCCTTATAGAGAACTCAGCCATTGATATAGATGACAGCCTTCTATCTGATACAGTTAATAACTTTAAGAGTTTCCATTCAATTTTGAGTTCTATCCAATATTGCACATAAATAATTGAACTATTGATACTTTGTATCAAAATAATTTTCTCTTTTCTTTTTGCAAGTTCTATGTGGGAAAAAATATCAGTAAGTATTATCTGTTTGAAATCACTGTAAAAATACATGTCGTGACAGTCTCAAATAAAAAAAATAGAGTATTATACTAAATTATCAAACAAGGCATTTACGTGCGAAATGTTACCACCTCCATTTGTTACAGACACGCCAAATACCAACCACCCAAACCGAACACAGTTTTCAAAAGAGTTGACAGCTAAACAATATGTCACCACTTCTGTATTTCATAAAAATCAGAAATCTGAAATTTTCGTTGATACTGATATTGTACATTCCATTGATATGCATTCTTATGTATCTGATCCATCTGTCTATAGTAAATGATTGTCTTTTAGTGATTTATTTATAATCCCCAATTGTTTTCTTGAAATAATAAAAAAAACATTATTGTATTGATAAGCTTGTGAAAATATTATATTTGCTCAAAATTACGTGTTAATTAACTTTTTGTGTATTGTGTACCCAGAATTCAATAATCAATCTTCAGAAATCGACCCAAAAATTCCTCAACGATGTTTGAGATTTCTTCTGTTTTTTCTTTAAAATTTGATTGAAGTTATGAACATCTTTAGATATTTATGTAGTTTACAGTCTTGTCTTTATTCTTACTTAAACCTCTCTCACTAATCTATCTTGTTTTAACATTATTTCGCGATTTAAAACACGAGCGTCATGACTTTTGTATGGGTTCTGTTTACCTTCGGTTCTTTAATCATCTTTTCATTATTGAGTGTCAATCAATCAAACCGAGAGTAGGAAACCATGGGTTATGACCAATATGAGGGCAGAATGCCTTTTTCAATGATCTCAGGGGATGATGTGGAGGATAATGTCCTGTTATCAACAGTTGGGGATTTACGAAGTTAGTTTCATCAAGGGGAAGAGGTTAATAATGGTTTTATTTGTGAATAATGTTGATCTTTTTAATATCCAATTGAAAGACAAATCAAAATTTTCAAATTCTGTTAGATGATGGGAGGGGGTTCAAACCATCACAAAATTAATTTCATTTTCCATGACTGTTGATAATTGGACATCATTCCTAACATAAGTCAGGATTCAAAAGACTGATTAATTAATTAGGCAAAACTTAAGCCATAAGAGGATATAGTACTTCCAAGTGAAATCATTTCCACAGTTACAGTCAAAAGAACACATAGTCAAAATAGTCTGTAAAATGACCATATACCAAGAGAGAATCCAGCAAGAAATAAAGTAAATAAAACAGATACCATGCTGAGCAATAAGGTCGTTCCCTTCCAATTTTCTATATGGACTATTCCAATACCAAAAATCAGCGAGATTATCTGTTAAACGGGTTACAACTACAATATAGAGCCACCTATAAAAACAACTCATACTAAATAGCAAGCACAAATGCCGATGAAAATGAAACATTACCCCATTGATTGGAGGCAAATTCTTTGAATCATTATTGAATCTCCAATACTGAAGAGTTACTGTTAATAGCAATGAATCCGAACACCGCTGGGACCACCAGCCAAAAGTGTTCGCATTAGCAGGTGTTCACATTTCAAGGTTTTATAAATACATCAATGGGAGATAACAAATTTGGGACTGAGAAAAGTGTTCACATTGAGAGGTGTTCATATTAGAGAGGTGTTCACATATACAAGTTTCACAAACAATATTAAATGAAACAATATCAATATCAAAATACCAATCAATAAAGTCTACAGGTAATGTTGCATGTATTATACAATAATACAACATTAAAAGAAAAGGAAAAACCTTCACGCGAAAGAAATGCACAATTAATACTTGTATAATCTATACAATAGGGAGTTTAAGCTTGCATATAAAATCGAAACGCCAACCTATACTTATGACTAATCGCCAATTCAAATGCATCGCTTCAATATTTTCCGGTCATGTTTAGGTTGTGAAAAACATTGCAAGTTTAAACTCCCTATTGCCAGAAAATTATATTGACTATAACAATTTGTCACAACTTGTGGTGTTGACATAAAAAATGGGACCAAGAAAAAGTGTTCACATTAAGAGGTGTTCAGATTAGAGAGGTGTTCAGATATACACATTTTACTGTACTTATAATCTTCCGCTGTCTCCGTTTCTTTGGTTATAATACCTTTCAATGAAAAATAACCCCTAATGACCACAGATTACACATGGGTGTATTAAAAGGGATGTATATGACAGACATTTTGATCCTCATGAGCTATACCCGTAAAAAAAACATCCAAAAGTTCATGTTTAAAAATGCAAAATAGAGTGGAAAAGAGTGGAATCAGCAAGGAATAAAATAAGCAGGAATATAGTCAACAAACTAAATTGTATAGAAATGCAAGAAAATCTAGTGTTTATTCAAATTTTTGAGAGAAAACGTGTAAAAGCTGGATGATCTGAAAAATTATTTAGACATGGACAACAATATAATCCTGCCGAGAAGGAAACCTTACAATTGTCTGTAATACAGGAGCATACATGTGTCTGGGAAGACTTGTATCAAGACATTCCCCTTTATTTATTTCACCTCCTTGAAGATTTGATGTGTGTAACATGGGAATTAGAAGGGCCTAAAGTAAGACTAGATCAGACATATGGAAAATGGTATTTACTAATAATGGTAGAGACCTAAGCGTTATATGAAAATATTGGCCATATTGGTATTTGAACCAAAGTGGTATATGGACCTATGTGGTATATTGACCATTGTGGTATATTGACCGTTGTGGTATGAACCACATGGACCTATGTCATTGTGGTATATTGGACCATAGTAGTAAATGGACATACGTGATATTTATGAACCATTTACGGATATATGGACCCATATATTATATATGGTCTACATTTGAGCATGACATATCAACTATGACTAAAAAAAGATCTTCTGAAGCTAAAAAAGACTGTTTTCTTTAAACTGGTGATTAAGCCATGATGAAGATCCCCTTTCCCACAGGTGTTAAATATAGGATACCTAATATTTATATACACCCATGACTCATTTATAAGTAAATTCCCTCCAAGTAACTTTTTACCATTAATCCAGAAAGGATAATTAAAGTCCATTAGTAGCTAGTCAGACTAAAAAATCTCACAAACATCGCAGCTAATTTTCATCAATTTCTCTAAATAATTTGAATAAAGTGTCTGATTTTTTTGAAGATCTATACAATTTGGAGTTTAAACTTTACACCCATGTATTTCATTAGTCGTTATTTTTCCTAGTTTTGCTGTAATTTCAAAAAGAAAACGACACCCAAGTTGGTTTTTATTCTTAGGTGCCGTACTAATGAGTATGCATGTTTGTCCATTTCCTGAATTGCTTCATCCAGTGATTATAGTAATTGTAGCTTTTATTTATTTATCTAGGGCCACTAAGGTGTTGCCCTGCAATCAATTTGCAAGCAGATAAACATTTCCCGGAGTGATAGGATTTGTTTTATTAAAGACATGAATCTGATATAAAACCTCCCAAATACAGGAATAGGTAAAAGTAAGCAACTTAACCAAAAGGCCCCGCAATATTTACCAACAATGGACTTACATTGATAAAACCTCTTTTACTGTAAACGTGTGAGGTTGAAAGTATTCAATGTGTAGTCATGAATTGAACATGGAAAAGTTGAAAAACAACAACAGGCGATTTTGTGAACACAACCTGTGAAAATCGCCTGTTGAGACATACATATAGCTAGACCATTTACAACTAGACAAATTTTTTATTTTTCTCTACAAAATCTTTCGCTGCAATTTTGGTAAGGCATGCCTAGCCTTAGTTCAACAAGTTAAACCCAATACCACGGCTTTCATTTTTTAATCTGAATGTTCGTGTTGCCGTGGTTGGGTTTAACTTCCGTGCTATGCTTTCATTTGTTGCAAATTCTCACCATCAGTTATATATTAAACCCGCATAGAATTCCATGCGCTACCATAGGCCACCATTAAATTTTTTTGCATCAAGGGCCGAATAGGCACGGAAGTTAAACCTAGGGCAGGCCACAAGATATGTCAGATAAGAAATAAGGCCCAGACTAGGTTTAACTTGTTGAACTAGCCTAGCCTCATAGCAATCTACACCCATATAGAGCATACGAGAGTCATTTTCTCGCTTGAGTGACCATTTATCACCCACCAACAAGCAGATCAGTTTGGACACCTCAGCTGAATTAATCACTTAATTTTCCCAATCCAATCAGTGAACCATGTATACTTTGTACACACACATTTTTACTTCCTAATCAGAAAATCTGACACACTTAACTCAAAACAATTTGTCTTCGACGTAAGCTTCGACTTTCCACAAACCATATTTTCTATTTTGGTCATGCAGTGAGACACTTTTTCCGTTAACAGATTTTTCAAAAGCACGTTGTGGTTGAAATCCTATATAACTTCTTGGCCAACAATTTGTTAAGCAGAGAGAATTAGCTTTAATAACTCGTTAGAATAAATGATCCTTAAAAGGATCAAATGATCAACAATCAATCATAAAATACGAGGAAATTACAAAAAAACAACTTACTCATTTGGCTTAGTCTTTTCTTGATTGGCTCCTCATTATCCGAGTCACTATATGACCTTGAACTCTCAGAGGTCATCGACCTTGACCTTGGCGTTTGAGATGTTTTCCTTGGTCTATGGTCCTTGTAATTATCCCTATGGTTTCTAGATCCTCGTGGGTAATTATCCACATGGTCCTTGTTGTAATCCCTATTATCCTTATAGTTTCTAGATTCCCGTGGGTAATGTTTGTTGTAATTGTTGCCATGGTGATTTGGGGATTGCGGGTGATCAGTTTCTACATCCCCATCCGAGCCACTTTGATAGTTATAAAGTCTACCCAGCGTATCCATTTGCTCTCCGTCTTCATCACCTTTTAAACCTGGAAAAAATAAAAAATCTGGGTCAGGTTCCCAATCTACATCTTCCAATAGCTCCATTCTAATAAAATCATCACAAATCATTGATCATTGAATATCATATCATTCAAATGTTTATCCACTGTTTAAGTGTTTCCTTTCATACGTGATATACAGCTTTTAATAATTTGATTTGAAATTGCACATTTTAGCATAATTTGTGGTTTGTGATTTATGCCCTGTCTGGGGCAAGCAACAAAACAATCAATAACAACAATCAATAACAACAATCAACATCATTGTTCCTTTGAAATTATTATTTAATCTCCCACTTAGATTCCAATTCATGAATACAAGAAATCAAATAAATTGCACTGAATGTTCCTCAAATCTTCTTAATCTTGCGTGCTACATCCACCAACAACATAATACAAATTGCAAGGCCACCGGGTACAAAATTACAAAAAGTACTAAATGAGTTGAAAAATGCAAACATAACAGAAGGAATATTCAAGAGAAGACATTGACGTACAAAACATCACTACCTGCTATTTGTTACAGATAACAAACATCGAACACCAACCACCAAATGCCGAAACACTGTCCAGAAAAAAGTTGGAGACAATAACAATATGTCAATAATTCTGGTGGTGACATAAAATCTGTCCACAGGAAACAAATCCAAACAGCCCAAAAATCTAAAGCTAGGTACACATAGCCCACATCGCAAGCAGGAATTGTTGTTAAAGTATACACTGATGACCACAGTTTTATAGTTACAATGTAGATGAATCTCTCTTTTAAAGAATAAACCAATGAACTTTAAAAGTAGCTTCAGCAAAAACTGAAGGAAAATGTTGTCATAATTGTGAAAAATCGCACCAGTAGTAATCCATTGAGCCCAAAGTAACATTTTTCACAGTTCTGTGAATCAGCGAAGCAGAACTGCTATGACATTTAATGACATGGTCACATTAGCAATTCCTCGAGAAGCTAAGTAAATGATGCGTATAACATTCATCTTTTTTATTAAGAATCTATATTTAAACACACATTGTAAAATCATACTTTATGGAAACTAAAACGGAACTTTGTCCTGATCGATATCTATCACGAGTTTCGAAGTTATTTCATAATTCATTTTCTATAAAATGAGAAAACTGTTTGTTGATGGTAAGTATTACAAAATAGAATCAGAATATAACTCAAGGCTAATCATATTTTATTAATTTTACTGCTAATTTGGAACCATCGTAAGTTACGATTTGGTCACAAGGCTTTGTTTGTCAAAAAGTAGACAACAGTTTTCTCAGAATCGTGATCATACCAAAAACGAACCCCAGGGTAAGTGTTGACAAAATACTCCAATTACTCTTTCAATTATTTTCTCTGTTATTTCTATATTCTCAACAACAGCCACGGTGACATTTAGGTCATTAAAAAGACATTACCTAACAGAATCCAAAAATAACTGAGATCCAGATGACAAAAGACTTAAGAAACACCAAATTGTGCCTGAGCAAACTTGCATATTTAGCCTCCCAAAAATTTCACTTTTTGTCTTTCTATTTCTGTAATTTCCCTCAAAATTTCAATGCCATTTCTTGATATTTCTAAACAACTTTAAGTATAAATGTTACACCTATTGTGCTAATTCTTTGCTATTTCTCTATTTTCTCTCTAATTTAAACAAAAAACATGAAATAAGGTGATATTTTATAAACAGGTAAGTGACTGTTCTTACTTATCCTTCAGGACAACTTGATTGATTGTATTCAACATCCCATTTCAAAATTTTCTCTGGATTGTCATGGCGATTTCTCACTTTATCTCTCTAAAATTTGAATAAACTGTCTAATTTTCTTGCATTTCTACACAATTCAAAGTATTAACTACATGTCTGAATATTTTATTTCTTGCTAATTCCACTCTTTTCCACTCTATTTTGCATTTTAAAACATGACCCCATGACATTTTCACTCCATGGGAGCATAAAGACCCATAGTTTTTTGTTCTCACATACCTTTTGATCTCAGTTTCTCTCTATTAAAGCTTTGTAAGTCGTATTGACGTCCAACAGCTAAATCCATTTTCTACTTAATTAATCTTTTTTTCAATTTGTTGCTTATTGTATATCATTTTGTTATTGTATGTCATCGATAAAATATCAATACTTAGAGACGTAAACATTTGAAAGATTCATTTCATGAACATCCAGTTGCGGGGCTTTTAGGCGTCTGCTTGGTTCGAATGAATGAATGTAACTATCAAAGTATTCGGCTGTTTCTTAATCTTGATCTAATCAAATATCCCTTCAAAACAGATCAATGTTTTATCATTATCCAAAATGAAGGATTGCTCCAAAAGTTTTAAGAATACGTAAATGAATAAAACACTTAAAAGCTACCAAATGTTGGTTAAATCACAAGTTTTCATTTATCTAATTAAGTTTTATTTGCTATAAGTAAAGCCTTTAGTAAGTTTTCAAAAAACTTGTGATACACTTTTTGGTAGGGGTGCTTCTAATCTAATATATCAGAAGTTCTGAGAAGATGTTTTGACTTACTTTAACATTACCAAGGTAAAACATACTCTTAATTGAAAAATGAGGATATATTTGATTACAAAATCAACATCTTGGTAAAATAAATCAGAAATCTTCACCAGAAACATGCTTGGCCCATGTACAAAACATCATCTGAATCATTCATCTTTTGCATATTTTCTCTCTAAAATTTGAATAAACTGTTTAATTTTTGGGCATTTCTGTACAATTTAGAGTATTTACTACATGTTTGTATACTTTATTCCTTGCTGATTCCACTCTTTTTTACCGTATTTCACATTTCAAAACATGACCATATTGAGATTGTATTTTGTGGGTTGGGTAATATCTCGAGGTACTATGGGGTCAGCTGATACATTTATGGGTGGCTTAAACATGGATTTGAACCCATGATCCGTGATCTTTTTCAAGTTAATCTGAAGACAAACAGCTGGGACTTAAATGAAACACTATCAGATATACAATTGGGTGTGAGTCATGCTTTTCTGTGAAAAAGAGGAATTAACATGGAATAAACTAAATTAACATGGAATAAACTAAATTAACATGGAATAAACAGAACTGATTATGATATATAATAAAATGACGAAAGAGATGTACATTTTTGAGATGAAAGAAATGAAATGCAATAAAAAGTAATAAAATGCAATGAATGGCTGTAATTTTTTGTAAGGGACATGTGTTTATTCGATAGGGTCAAACACTAATTAAACAATGTATTTTACATTGAAAATATTTTTATTAGAATTCTTGGGATTAAAAATGTTAAAAGTCAATATGAGAAAATGTAATTGGTTTAATCAGTATTATAAATACATGTTCAACAAATATGCTTTTCTTGAACTTTCTTGAAAGCTTATTTGAAGTCAAAATGTCACAAAAATATTTGAAGAAGAAAAAGTTTCAAACTGAAAGAATTTGGAGTTGGTTTCAATAAAAACAAGAATATTATTTTAATTTTGAGAAAACACAAAGGGCAACATAAACTCATAAAAACACACAAAATGAAAAAAATCAACCTTGGTATGAATTTAATACTCGTATTAAAGCATGTGTCCAGGTCAGTGCTTCATAGTTACCACTTTAAATAGTTATTACTTTATATTTTATATATTTAAATTCATGACACCCTTAATAAACAAGATGCATAAAAATCAATTTGAAAATACTTCAGGATTCTTACGAAAACCATCATTATATTGAAAATGGCCAAAAAAATATCTCTCGTGAAATTAATACGTATGGGGGTTTCATTCACTTAGGAAACAGGCAATTTTCAGAGGTTGTTTTTATAAAATCACCTGTTGTTTTTAGGGACTTTTCAGCTTTTCCATATTAAATTCATGATTTTGCCTGATGCTTTCATATATTTAGCCCGTTGTGAGAAATTCTAGTGAAACCCCTGTTAGTATATATAAAAATTCCCAAAACTATAAAATTAGAAACCATATATGCTGTAGTATCAAAAAATTCCTATCGATATATCTCAGAAAAGTTATATCTATTTATATGCTAACTTTGTTATGGGATTAGACACCGTTGAATCGTAACTTCAGAATTCCGCTATTATTATTGATTTCTCTACAAAAATATTACAGATGAAATGTCTTAAATGTCTTCCGATGAAACAAGTTATATTTCCAGAAGGGATTTTTACGAGCAAATATGCGATTAGTTTTGCATTCTACGATCATAAAGGGCACAAGGCTCATAAAGAACTGGTCTGTTTTTATCATCTTTTCTGGCCACAATCTTATTAAAGTAATGCAACTAGATTCTGTATCACACGAGGCGGGGGGGGGGGGTATTTTGACTTGGGCTGAGTATTAAAATTGACAAAAATGGCCTTAGCATTGAGGGCGAGTTTCTAAAATCTTTTTGAGAAGTTAAAGCCAAAATATACCACTTTTAGGTTCCATATACCTACAATGATATCTCCCCCCCCTTCCCTGATCAAGCTGTGTAAAGTGCAAGAATGAAAAGGATAGAAGGGGTAAATACAAGAGAATTAGTTGAACAGGACACGGCAGCATCAGACTCGTAGCCAGGATTTGTCAAGGGGGGGTCACTTTTTGAAGAATTCCAAGGGGGGTTCACTTGTGACAATTTTTGGACGTAAACACTTAAAATGTGCTCAGAATAGTGAAAAACTGCGTGATTTTGAAAGATTTTTTGGCCAGGGGGCTTCGCTCGAACCCATCAACCCCCCCCCCCCCCTTGGCTACAGGCCTGGTAAATACCAACAAGAACTTATTCTTCAACAGAAAGCTTTATACCAAGGTATCTACCTGGATTCTTTGAAGAGAGAAGGAAACTGTTACCTGATGATAAATCCTGACATTTATCTCACTGACTGGAATCCCTATTCATAACCCTTGCGTAAAATAAATGTGTCATGTTTCGATAAATGATTCTGTTTATAATTTAAATCTTCTGATTATGTAATACTATATTTTTTTGTAAACGCTTTAGTGAATTAATCATTTATTTATATTGTTCATTGTTCATGCCTCTCTTTTCTGTACTAAGCATAAAAAAAATACGAGAAACAGTATGAAATTTTATTCAAGAGAAATTCTATATTCCAATTAGCCAACCTAGAAAGGTATTTTTGCCCAGAAAAAAATCACACTTTAATTATATTTTGTACAATTTCCATGAAAATATTTAGAAATCACTGCAAGATAAGAAGTGGTTATATCTGAATTCAATCTTCAATCAAGAAATTCTTCATCGATTTCACTGTATTTCATAAAAGGCTATTTGATGAGGATCTTATTTTCAGGATAAAGCCCAGGATCAGTGTCAAGAAGATCAAAGAGGCGGCTGGGGTTGTATTCACAGAAAAGGAATTAGAGGTCATTAAAACACAATTAAAAGGTGATTGGAGAATATCTAACTTCCTCTTGTTGGATAAGACCATTGACAAGTTGAATAGTACACACTTTACACGAACAACTGGTAATTGTATATTTCTTGTGGAAAATTGATAAAAATTGATACGTAAAAACCAATCAGAGATCCTTTCTATTTACTTAAAAAACTGTGAAATGTTTAAGAGCTGCATTGACATTAAAAACATTAATGAAATAAAACCTGTATATCAGAACACCTCTCTCATCCGAACACCTCTCAATGTGAACACTTTTTGGCCCCATTTGAACTGCCATAATATATTACCATGTTAATGAATAACTGGTGATTAAAACACTCTCTTTAAAGAAGCGAAGTGGAACAAATATAAATGCAGGGGTTTCACTAGAATTTCTCACAACAGGCTAAATGGATGAAAACAACAGGCAAAATTAATTGAAATCACAATTTAACATGGAAAAGTTGAAAAGTCCCTAAAAACAACCTGGCAATTTTGTGAAAACAACTGGTGAAAATCGCCTGTTGCCTGCTGCTAATGAAACCCCAAAAAGGGCATATACATGTATATAAGTTTTATGTACATTTACTTACCTAAATCAGGTTTTGTATTGGTAGATGCATCTCGAACATCTTCATAAATATTATCTCCCGTCCCATATCCCGACGGATCATCCTCACCCTCTGAGGAACTATAACCACAATGCCCTCTATTATGACCCCGAGGTTTCGGCGAGGGCTTCGTTATTGATGTCTGTGGGTACGACATTGTGATGTCACAATACTATCTTTGTCTCATATTTCTGCAAGTAAAAATGGCAATATTATTACTTTTTTAAAAAGTTAAGAGTGAAGAAATAATATTACGGCTTACAAGTGCTGAATTATGTCTTTATCCATCAAGATATTTCATATGTTTTTTTAGAACAGTCTTTGTAGTTGTAGTTTGTAGTTTTTTGTACATTGTAGTGACTGATATTGAGTCAATAAAAGATATATATATGTTAAATTCCAAGATTTATAACAATCCATTTTTCTATATTTCTACCAATGTCCAAGCTGCATGTTTACATAACTAAATCTTCTTTTTAAGTTCCTTCTTTCTTGTGTGAAAATTTCAAAATAACTGATAGTACCATATCCCATTAGAAGTACATGTGAAAAAAATCCCACAACGAGAATCGTATTGTTTTTATTCTTCCGCTTCATTTAACCAAAATCTTTGATGAAACTTTCATGGCGTCCTAGTTATAAGTATACCATTGTTATGCCATTCAGTAGAATGAGTCAGAACCATTCATGCATCAATACCAAGCAAGTACCCACTTCAATCCCATAATGCAAACAATATAATCCCATAATGCAAATACATTAGCAGACGTGTTGAAACTTCAGGTAATTAATAACCGTTATATAAGAGTATCAATAACAGTGTAGTATGCTATTGTTCTAAGAATGGGCAATATTGATAATACTCCCAATAATTCATTAAACCAGTGTAAATGCCTCACATGGGTCATGTTTAGAAATGCAAAATTTGGTGTGAAAGAGAGAAATTAGCAAGGAATAAAGTAAACAGGGATCTAGTTAACACTCTAAATTGTATAGAAATGCAAGATAATCAAACATTTCATTCAAATTTTACAGAGAAATTGAGTGAAAAAGGCATGACTTTAAGATACATTTTAAGCATGGAAGAATCCATTGTTAGTCTCTCTTTAGGCCATAGTCAATGGTGTCAACTTAGATCCCTGCTGTCCAAATGTAAGAAATGTGCCCTATGAAGCATGTCATCCCAATAAAGGATGTCATCTTATTCTGAGTTGATGTCATCTCATTTTAGGTAGGTCTCATAGCCTTTCGGTCTTTCTCAATCTTTATGCATAGAAAGACTCTGATAAATCAGAGATAATAAAAAGCAGCTTAAGTCTTGACAAAAAAGCTTCATAGGAAGGAAGGTGTTATACAGTAACAAAATCCTTTGTTATGTGGCTTTTTACCCCCCCCCCCCCCCCCCCTCCTTCCGGCATGAAACCTCTTATTACACCTTAAATAACAAGTAACTCAAAGGCCCCACTCTTCCAAACACCTTGACTTATCCAGAATGACAAGATTTTGCATCACAATGAAATTAATTCTGAAGCCAGCTAGAATGACCAGATAATCTGTCATGGAATTTTTTTCACTTCAACTATTAAACTAAAGACAAAGTAGAAATTTAATCACTTTAAACGCAGACAGGTAACCCATCCATTATCAGACACGATTTTGATTAATCGAAACAACATCAATGATCCGTGACCAATCAAATTACAGCTAAAAGACTACATAAACTGCTATTAGTATTATAGCTGCAGCAATTATCTTAGACTTAAAATCCTTGTTTATTGTTCATAAAGCTTAGATATCATTTTATCCTTGTTTCCGAAGGCTATTCGGAATTAAGCGATTATCCCATCTTTAACTATGTCCAGAATTGACCATTTATAAGCAATTGATGATAAAACAGACATCTATTGATTGAGAGTTTTTTTATTATTCCTATGGGATGATGTTCCCGATTGAGTGTTTTGTTCAATATTGTATTCAATTTTGAACAAAATACTCGATCGGCCGGGCGCCGTAGTAAAAGTCGAATAATGTGACCAAGGCATAAACTCAAAGAAAGCTCTGCCCTTTCTGTAAAAGAGACCCTCGGCTACAAATTCACTATACTAGACTTTGACAATCATAAGATCTATTTACTTAAACGAGACAGATTTCTAGATTAAAATAAATGTTATGAACTGGTTTCAGAACATACAACCATAATAAATATCCCAGGTACAAGATCTATGGTAATCTACAGGTAAATATTGTGGTTCTATCACCCATACATAAAATCTCGCTCCAATTTTAAATAAATATCCCACATCTTTCTCTCGCAAATTCAAAACAACTGCTAACGATGCAATATGTAAATCTAGGATCCGTCAATCATTACATATTTACCCGATTCCTTGTTTTATCCTTTTTTGCTTGTTTTTTCTTAAGATTTTATGAAATGCACCTGTGTGTTATTTTATTAATGGGCTGTCTACAGACTGCTTCATTAATCTAAGGTAAATGATTTACCTGGTTTACCTGCATTAATTAATCCAGATCTGATAAAACATTTCATTATCAAAATATAATCAATGTATAAAATATAATCGTTTATTAAGAGAAATTGGAGGATGCTGAGAATAGTATGATAGGTCGGTAAGTAAATGAATAAATGAAAAACTTTGCCATCCTTATCATTTTTCAAAATATATGTACTCACTCCAGGCCCCTGGCCAAAAAATCTTTCAAAATCATGCAGTTTTTCACCATTCTGAGCACTTTTTAAGTGATTTTGGCCATTTTTGGACCAAAATTGTCACAAGTGAACCCCCCTGGAATTTTTCAAAAAGTGAACCCCCTTGGCAAATCCTGTCTACAGGCCTGCACTCAAAGGGATGATGTCCAAACATGAATGGTTGTGAACTGTTATAAATAAACCTCCTCCCAACTCATATAACCAGAGAGATCTGAAAATCATTTGGACGGTGGGCTAAAAAATGTGCTCATGAAAAAATTTAGGGAGTAATTTTGAAATTTCGGGCCCCATATCTGAAAATGTGGGCCCAATTTCATAGAAATAGGCTCAAATATAAAACAATGCCAAGTAATGGCTTGTTACCTAGATTACCCAATTTATGTGGTAAGAAACAAATTTTAGGCCCTAAAACCCTCAAATTGTTTTGGAAACACCAATTGCCCCCCCCCCCACCAGGTTCGTCAGTGAACCCACTACATAAACAACATGTTTGACTAAGAAATATCATAATTTACCCCATTCCCCATCCCCCTACAAAATTACCTTCGTTCTGCAACAGATGACGATCAAGCACCACCCTAAAGTCAAGATGTCTAGATGCTTGACGGAAAACTAAGAGTGGCTCAATGCTCATTTATAAGTGCAGATGTATTAATTTAGTCATTTCATCATCAATTCTACCCTCAAGTTATTCACAAGTGAGGAAGGCAATGTCTTGAATGGCCTTCTCAAAAAACACCAAATTAATCGACAGATTCTTGAGCATCCAAAACAGCCGCTTAGTGATCATTTATAATCATAACGTGTGACTTTATTACTTCGGTTACAGCATAATCAGTTTGGCTGCATGCTTGGATGGTCACATCGTTGATAAGACATTTTATTGGTTTCGACTTGATGTACTAAGTCAGAGTGACCATTATTTACTATTCCTTGACGAGTTGGACTTTGAATCTCAAAATGAGTGCAATTCGGATTTATCAAAGTCTGATTTATCTCAAGCTTGATCGCTTTTGCCTCTCCATCTAATGCCTGGGTCACATTTGCTACGATTCATGAGTGTTTTGTTCAATTCAGTTTTCAACAAAATACTCAATAGGCTGGGCGCCGGCTGATGTATCGCAGCAAATATGGCCCAGGCATAACTGAAATGAGTGAACTCCTTGTGTTTTGTGAAAGCAATACATCTTTGATCTTAAATGATATGGCTCTTGCATAAGATGGCATGACTCTGCATGATATGAAGGGCATGACTATTGGTGGGAGGCATGACTACTAAAGTAGAAAGCCAAATGTCATGACTGCTGCAAGAAAGGTTGTGACTAATATATAAAAGGAATGTCACATGATGTAAGGCCAAGACTGATATAACGAATGGTATGACTGATATTGCAAATTTCATGACTGTTACAAGAAAGGGCATGACTTTTAAATGAAAGTCATAATTATTGCAGAAAATAGCATGACTGCTGTATGAAAGGCCATGACTGATGCAGCGAATGGCATGACTGTTACAAGAAAGGGTATGACTTGGTATGACTGATACAGAAAGCAGCATACTTTATGTTATGACTGCTAGAGAAGAGGACTCGCTAGAGAAGAGGACTTACTACATCGAGACATAATAAGAAATCAGTTAATGTGTTTTCTATGACCAGATTGTCTTATTATATCCTGTGATTTATGGACCTTGATTTATGGATTCGTCGGTTATTAGATCATACATTTAATCAATAGGGGCGATTAAGTCCATCACGGAAAATACAGCCACGATTACTCCTAACACGTCCTCAATTAGATAAAAAAAAAAAAAATCAACAATGAGCAACAATGAAAAAACTATACTTAACCTTGAAAATTATGTAGAAAAATTTCAGATAGTATATAAGACATTATCAATGAATATTGTGAAAATTCATGACATCGGGGTGTTTTACGGACGGACTACAAATGAAAAATGCCAGAGCATGGTTTGTGGATGTTTGATATAATAATGAAGGCGACATACCCATACATGATCTGCTATAGATCTTCAATATTGGACATTAAGGCCCATTGGGAACCTTATTAAAACAAGATTATTTTATCAGTTAATGATTCTATCAAATGGGCAAGCTAAATCAAAAGTTATATACATTTTCAGTGATCTCCCCGGCATTAAAGCAAGTGGGCGCAGCACCCACCTGAGATTTTGAAAATAGGCTTGCACCCACCTGAAAATCCATTTGCACCTACTTGAAAATGAGAAATATCATGTAAAATTGGCATATTTTGACCGCTTTTTGTCTGAATTGTGAAAATGAAAAATTTGCACTTACCTGAGAAAAAATCCTGAGGAGATCACTGATTTATATATAATAACTTATAATTGTAATTCATACAGTAAGACCTAGATATCCGAACACCTCTCATATCTGAATGCAGCACCAATATGAACACCAACAGCGCCAATATGAACACCCGCA